TTGCAGGATCTTGTAGATAACAGTATACAGGGCTTCATAGTTCTCAGAATCTGTCTGATTTGTGGTTTAGATCGTATGTCAATTTTTCCATTGGGAAATGGGCTGATATCTGTCTCAACCACATATTAACAGAGGGAAGTGAGGAGTAGACCAGTGAAGTAAAATACATTTTTTGGCCAGAAACAAAAGAGTAGTGAGCATATTTTTTATATCCAATGTGAAATAATCATCAGAAATGTAATACAATAAAAATAGAAAACAGGGGACATAGTAAATTGCTTCTTGATAATATTTTGGATTACATATTGAAACTCTTTTCAGAACTTTTGCAAATGTTCACAAGACCAAAACATGAACCCAACATGTGAATTGCATTAATAACACAAGTTTGAAGTGTTAGGAAACATTTTGTGCATTTGAACTGGTGTAGAGTATGTCTTGTGAAAAAACTTAAAATTTTGTTCATGGATTGAGATCGAAGTACTGTACATTTGGGAAAAATACTGTTACAAATTTCTTTCCATATTGCAGAACTAAAAGTTATTTCCAGATCCCATTCCCAAATTCTTTCAAAGCATCAAGAGATGATAAGTCTGAAAACAGAAGCAACGAGTAGATCTCAGAAATCTTGCACTAGAGCAGGGGCGGGCAATCTTATCCAGAAAGGGTTGCAGTGTGTGCGGATTTTCGCTGAAACTCCCTAACTGGATTACTGATTAGAGGACTAATTGGCTGAAGAGTCCTCACACCTGGGTTTGAACAGCTGACCTAAAGGTTATCCCAAAAACCTGCATACACACCGACCCTTTGCGGATAACACTGCCCACCCCTGCCCTGGAGTGTCCTGGGAGAAAGCAAAAGATTTTCAAGATCTGAAAGGTATCCTCCTCCCTTTTAACAGAGTTAACAAGGTGTCGTATCTAAAAGAATTTGTAAAAATCCTTATGTGGGATGTCAAAGTCAGTCCTAAGTTGTTCAAAAGACTTTAAGGAGCCATTTATTAGTAAATCTGAGAAATCTGACAAATTATATAACCTCCATTCTAATAAACCAATGTTCCTAAGTTGACCAGGAAAATCAGGATTTAATGCTAAAGGGGAGATTAGAGACAGAATTACAGGGATTTTAAAATTTTAAAATATTTTTTCACCTCTCCATATAAATAATAGTATTAACCTTAACTGAAGAAATCTGTTGTATGTTATCGATAAAAAGCAAGGTTTTTAGCAAATAAGGGTGATAAGCAAATGATTCCAAACCAAACCATAGGGATTGATGTCAATACTTGAACCAAGTCATCATATTTGTAATATGCGCAGACCAATAATATAATTGCAAATTAGGCAAAGAAAATCCTCCAAGATCTTTAGGTTTGGTAAGTTTAGAAAATTTGACTGGTGTTTATTGTTCCAAATGTAGCAAGAAATAAGAGAGTTCAAGGATTTAAAAAATGATGGCTTTATATATCATGGAAGATTCTGAAATAAATAACTTAACCGGGGAAGTATGTTCATTTTTATAACATTCATCCTAGCAAAGAAAGAAGTTGGTAGAGGTGACCATTTCTCCAAGTCCCTTTTACTAGAGGAGGGAAATTAGCCTGAAACAGACTGTCAAGGTCAGGGGTAACAAAGATGCCCAAGTAGGTAAATCCTCTTTCAGAGGTACAAAAAGGAAAATGTGTAAATCTATCTTGGGGAAGATTCAAAGGTAGTGCTACAGATTTTCCCAAGTTTATTTTATAACCGGACATTTCACTATAGGAAGATATAGTTTTCAGAACAGCTGGGACTGATCTATCAGGATTGTTAAAAAAAAACAAAAAAAAAGTAGTACATCGTCCGCAAATAGAGATAAATGTTTTTCTTCAGCCACAGTAATCCCGCAGATATCTGGGTTAGCCCTAATGGACTCCGTTAGGGGTTCAATAACTAGTGTAAATAATAAGGGTGATAAGGAGCATCCCTGTCTACAGCCTCTATGTACAGAAAAAACCCCAGACATCAGGCAATTTGTATGAACAGTTGCGACTGGGTTGGTATAAAGAGTTGTAACAATATGGGTGAAGTTTGGCAAAGACCAATCTGTTCTAATACTGCAAATAAAAAAGGCCATTCTACACGCTCAAATACTTTTTCGGCATCTTATTAATGCTGGGCTTTTGTGAGTATTAAGGTATTGAATTACACCGAGTGCTCGTACATTATCAGTACCGTATCCTGACCTCACAAAACCAGTTTGGTCAGGCTTAATTATATTAGGAAGCAAAGTCTCCAGTCTATGGGCTAATATTTTTCTAACCATCTTTATGTTCTGCGTTAAGTAGGCTGATGGGTCTATAAGACAAGCAGTCAGAGGGATTTTTATCTTTCTTTAATAATAAACTTACTGACGCATATTTCCAAGAAGACGGAGTATTCCCTGACAAAATATCATTGATAGCGGGCATATTTTTTTTAATCTCTGGCCAAAACTTTTTATTAAATTCTATAGGAAATCCTTTAGCGCTTGGGGTTTTACCATTAGGCATAGCTTGGATCACCACAAATACTTCCTCTGGGGTAAATACAGCATTTAATTTGGAACGCTCCTCCTCTGTTATCATTGGATAGCAAGGAAATGTTATTTAAATAAGTGGCAATAGACGGATCAGAGTCTGATATATCGGAGCTATAAAGAGATTGATAGAAGTCTCTAAATGTTTTATTAATGGTCAATGGGTCGTAAGAACCCTGGGCTGTCTTTATCATAGTAATGGAACTACTACTGCTCTGATTCCCAAGCTGGTAGGCAAGTAGGCGACTAGATTTGTTACCAAGTTCATAATATTTTTGTCTGGAAAAAAGTAATAATTTCTGGGTATGGCGAGTATGGTCCAAATTTAGTTTAGTCCTAGCATTTATTAATAATTTGAAATTTGCTATAGTAGGTATCTGTTTATGCAGTAGTTCCAACCTCTTTACTTTGTTCTCAATAGCTTTCGTATTACTTTCCAAAACTTTTTTCTGGTACGAAGTATAAGAAATATGAAGGCCACGTAGAGTGGCCTTAGCCTCATCCCATATGGTAACCGGAAATACTGGAGAATATCAATTATCAAGCCAAAACTGAAGTAGATTTTCACTGATATATGAACATGAGGAATTACTACTTAAAAGCGATGTATTAAACTTCCATACTGGAGTTTTAGGTATATGAAATGTTGGGGCTATATGCAAATGTACTGAAGCATGGTCTGAGAGGAGGATGGAGTATATAAAACAAGTTTAAACAGCGTGTGAAAAAGTGTTGGGAATAAAAATGTAATCAATTCTAGAGTATGAGTGGTGTGGATGTGAATAAAATATATAATCTCTCATTGTTTGGTTCTGCAGTCGCCAGACATCTACAAGCCCAACATCCATGGTCATATTTTTAAGTGCATTTGTGGAGTTTCAGTTAGCCGTTTTCAGAACATAAGTATCACAAATAACACACAATATTCCAGGTGGAGTCTTACCAAGGAATTGTATAATCGTAGCATCCCCTCCATTGACTTAAACTCCACACACCTAGAGATGCAACCCAACATCCTACTGGCCTCTTTTATTGCTTCTCCACACTGGCAAGAGTGGGACATGGAAGCATCAACATACACACCGAGATCTTTCTCATAATCAAATACCTTTATTTCAGTGGAACCCATAAAATATCTGTACTGTATATTTCTGCTCCCTGCATGGATTACCTTGCATTTATCTACATTAAATTTCATCTGCCAAGTATCAGCCCAGTCGCTAATTAAATCAAGATCCTGTTGTAGCCTCTGTGCTGCTAGTTCAGTATCTGCTACACCACCCACCTTGATGTCATCTGGAAATTTAACCAGTTTACTGTATATATTGGTGTCAATATCATTAATCAATAGTGGTCCTAAAATTGAACCCTGTGGTACCCCACTATGAACGCAGGCCCACAGTGACATTGTGCCTCTAATAACTACTCGCTGCTTCCCATCTGTTAACCAGTTTTTGATCCAAGCTGCCACAGTTCCTAAAATCCCTGCCTCTTTGAGCTTAAGCAAGAGCCGTTTGGGGGGACAACGTCAAAGGCCTTCTGGAAATCTAAGTTTGAATATGGGCGTTATATTAGCATGCTTCCAACAGATAAGGATTTCGGGAATAGTTAAGTTAAAGGCTAACAATAAAATCATACATGATATAAATTTAGGGGAATCGCAATTAGGTGCATACACGTTCAAGATTGTTATGTGATGACTGAAGATTGAGCTAATAATCAAAATAAATATTCCTTCTGGATCTTTCTCCTCCTTTTCCAGAACAAAGGGGAAGTTTTATGTATAAGAATGGCTGTGCCCTTTTTTTTTTTTTTTAATCATATGAAGAAAAGTAAACTTGGCCAACCCAATCTCTTTTGAGCTTTAAATGTTCAACATTTGATAACCTAGTTTCCTGGAGAAATGCTATAGTTATCTTTAGTTTTTTTAGATGAGTTATTTTTTCCCCCTTTTTATTACATTACGAATCCCCTGAACATTCCAGGTAGTAAGTTTAAGAGACTCAGATATATTGGTCAAAAACTTTGTAGGTAAACAAGTAAAAAACAATTAAGGCCAGATTCATTGAAAGATAGTGAAGAGCGATAAAATTGAGAACAGCGATACCTCCAAATATTCACAATAAAATCAAACGTTGAGTGTGTAAAATCAAATTGACAACACTGTTGGCCCCTCACCCTGTTCCCAAATCTGAGTAGTAAAACACCCAAATGACGTCACGGAAAGACTTAAACGTGAACTCTTCTACCAAAGTAGGACAACCCACAACTACAATCTGGTCGCCTAAGGTCGATCCAACTCTCTGAGCAAAAAAGCCACTTTTTTGACCCCTACGAAATGTCCCAAAAATAAACTATACAATACATGTAATAGTGCAGAAAAATAATAAATAACGAGCCATATGAACACAACGCAAAACACAGTGTTCTCCATATCAACTTACGAAAGAAATGAGGCAAGTCACTTTATCGTTTCTAGAAAAGCCGCTGCAGATTCGAGGTCGTCAAAAAGACGGATCCGACCATCATGAAGGCACCTGAGACGTGCAAGATAGGCAAAGCCCCGGTAGATGTTCATACGAATCATCGCCTTACCCACGCTGTCCAAATCTTTCCTCCTCCGTAAAACATCTGCAGACAGATCTGGGAGGAAACGTAGTTTAGATCCTCCGTGAACGATGTCAGGCTTTTTCAGCGCTGCTCTAAGAACTCTGGTGGTCGATTCGGAGTCGGTGTGGGAGTCAGGATTCGATATGCTCGTTCGATTACCAGCGGGGGGAGGGCGACCTGCCGGGAGTCCGACCCAGGTCGAAATCATTGATTTAAGAAATTCCACGACAGGGGTAGTACTTTTGGCTTTCTCGTCAAGACTGATAATCTTCAAACTTTTGCGGCGTCCCCGATTCTCCAGGTCGTCAGCTTTTAACAGCAGCTGTTCTACGGTTTTCTGCATGTTCGTTAGCTGGATATTATGGCGGTCGCGGCTGTCCTCCGTGCGGGGACTTCAGCTCTCGGCTTCCTCTATGAGCGTCTCTAAGTCGGTCACTCGGTTTTTTAGGTTTGAGAAGGAGTTTTCTAATGAGGAAACCGACATTTTTATATCGTTTAGGGAGTCGACTAGCCACAGACTTGACCTCCGACAAAATTTGCTGCAGGGTTGCTAGGCTAGTTGTCTGCGCCGAAATAGCCTCGGTAGCTTGGCTCTCATTAACCACTTGCGTCGTTATTCTTTTCTTCCCAGATTGAGAGCGGGTTGATGAGAAAAGTGGAAAATCCTTATCACTTTTTGAACTAGACATATTACCAACACATTTTAAGTGACAATGCCTAAGCAATTTTGAGAAAAGTTCAAGTTTGGCTAATGCCCAGAGCGGAGCAAACCTTCAAGCATCCCTTTCGCTCAGGGTCACGTGATTTTTTTTAAACGAACGAGCTGTCATGCTCTTGTTGCTGTACAAATTCGACCAAATCGCAAGCATTACATAGGTCACAGATTCAGAATTGCCACATAGACTTATGTCAATAAGAGGAACATTCTACCCCCCATCATAAATGAATGCAAAATAGTGAAAATAGGCATATATTTCACGCTAGACAATTTTATCACCAGTAATGGATAAATACAGTGAAAACTTTGTTTCAGGACTTAAACAATCATAGTAAATAGTATTCAGATTGATAGTGACAATTTCATGGTGACAAGTCAAAATTTCACAAACACAATGTACTCTCTTGACTTGCAAGGTCTTCGAAAGACAAATGCTGGGCACCACTACAATATATCACGCGTCTCATCAATGCACCTAGCACTCAAGGTAGTAGTGCTTCCAGTTACACAATTAGTTCCAGTGACATGAACAAAATGTACTCTTTTCCCAAACTAACTCCTGAGTAATGCCATGTCCAATATATGTCATTCAGGTCATTGTGTTATTTGTGATACTTATGTTCTGAAGTTCGTCAAAATGATAAACTATAGAATTAAGGTATTACCCAAAATCTGTAACACTGTAATCTTAAAAGTTATTTGAAATGCTGAGCTGTCACTATGAATCCAAATACCATTTTTATGTTCTGAATACCATATCTATGTTCTGAAAAGAAAAAGTTTTCACTGTATTTATCTATTACTGGTGGTAATGCTTTAATATGTTTATGTAATAATAATGTTTAATATGTAATAAATAAAATTATCTATCTTGGGGAAAAAAAACTGGTTAACACTTTACTTGAAGCCATCATCTATAATGCATTATAATGATCAGTATAAGAATTAATAAAGCATTACAGTATCTTCTATTGACAGACATAAGGTGTTTCATTGTTTCATATAGTACTTCATACACTCCAATGAAGCTCTCACTGACAATTATAAAGCATTATGAAGGTGCCTAAAGTGCAATCTATAACATTTTCAGAGCCTAGTACACAAGTACGTAAGATACACCTGATCTTATTACATGTTCAAATTCTACATAAAACAAGTTTCAAAGGTGTACGTCATATCAAAAGGGCTATGAATGTCAGACGTTGGACTGAGGGCTGTAGTTTCAAAACCATTAGAGATACAGATCAAATATCTGGGATTTCCCAGGAAGTCTGGCATAGGAAGGAATTTTCTTTCTTCTTTGTGATTTGATACAGAATGACCCACCAGTCCAGGTCACACCACTTCTCACCTTTTTTTTGGGGGGGGGGGGCAGCTTTAATTTTTTCACTTCCTAACTGTTGCATGATGGTGCGCAGCAGATCTTAGGCACTTAACGACAGGTTTTTCGTTTTTAATATCGATCTCTCTTTACGTCTGTTCTTGAGTATTGGACTTCGGTAATGGAAGATGACGGCAAAAGTACCCGAGAATGGTCAAGCACGCATACTGATAAACACCCTGAGACTGAGAAAGACACTGATTCTAATAATAATAATAATAATCGATACTTTATTGATCCCCATGGGGAAATTCTCTTGACACTTCCCCCAACTTGCTCTCTGTAGGTGAGAGCCAGCTGGCCGCGAAGAGCAGCCATCCATAGCAGCGCCCAGGGAGCTGGGGGTTAAAGACCTTGCTTAAGGGCCTGCAGACGTGGCTTGAACCAAGGACCTTCTGGTCATGCAAAGCCTTAGCCCACTGAACCACACACTGCGCACCATCTTCTTCGTCAACACCTCTTCATTCTTTCTCATACTGCAACAAAAAACAAATGCATAACTTAACATGTAATGCTTTTACACTGGCCATGCATAAGCACTAAATGCCTGACGAAAAGAGCACCATGGTGAATCCTGAAGGACATTTTGATAAAAATTCATTTTTTCCATGGCCCTGGTATTTAACGTAGCAACGACACATACGAGTCTTGCAGGGACACGTTTTCCCCTGTAGGGACAAGTTGAGGATCTCCTCTAAATAGAAATAATGATCAATCTGGCAAACGAGCCGCTCCCAAGGTGCCTACTTTATTCAAGACCCAGTCGGCGTCTTCTATGGCCCGTTTAATTATTTGCCGGATGCGTTCAGGGTCATCCTCATCCACATGGCTATTAAAACCCTGCGAATTTACAGAGAAATAACGTCCATCACAGCTATGGTTCACACTCATGATATGGGAAGAATCTGAAATGGGATAATTTACATGTGAACACGCTTTCTAGAAACTTGGCGGGAAGGGAAGGCTACCTGTCTCACTGCGTGCCGGTAGTGCTGCTGGACGATCGGGGAGGGCAGGCGCCTGCAGCACCGCAGCAGGTACCGGTACAGGTGGACCGGCGTCCTGACCATCTCGGCGCCTGGCAGAGGAGACATGCCGGCGCTTACCTTCATTTAGGCAACGAAGATGGGGGGGGGGGATGCATTCACTTCAAAGTTGACAGCAACGTACAATACCACTTATTATTTTAAGAAGATACATAAATATGAACTAGAGTCTTACTTTTTAAAACACTTGGACAGCCGCCGAAGCTCCTTTCTGCGTTACCGAAGCGTTGTGCACCAGCAGCTGGCACTGAAGGAAACATTAAAAGATACATGGTTCCTAGGCGATCACAGATCTATTTAGCCAAATATAATCCTTTTAGCTGAGAATACATTCTTATAAAATTACCCAGCTTATAATAATAAGAAAATGAACACTTAATGCACACACATCCATCCTTAATTCGAAAAACTTTGTAATACGAATTCGGAGAACAGCGACAATGAGCACATATTAATGGTGGTGTCAAATGTTTCTTATTGGCTATAGTACTTAAATTCTCCATTCCACTGACATATTTGTCTACATATAGTCATTCCTTTATTGCATCATGTGTTCTAGTTTTGGTATATAAATATGTGCGTTGGACGCCTGAAATCTACTGCTCTATACATCCGATTCATTTAGCACTTTATGAAGTACTGATATTACTAAATATAATAGGGACCTGAAAAATCTACCCCCGGCCAATTACACTGTGCACCCAACTCCCTCATTCTGTGGATCGGTCACATATTGAGCACAAGCTGTAATTTCTAAAAGCAGAATTACGATTTGTGAGGAATCCCCTCTTTTCCACCATCGTGACATTCATTCCTGGTTTAATAATTGTGCTGTCAAACGCGAGGTGTTGACTGCCTGCCATCTGGACCGATCGCTCTCATGCGCTGCCCAGCGAGTCAAGGGCGTCCAGCTGGCCGGCCCACAAACCAGTCTTCCCAGGCCGGCAAAAGGTCCCGTTTCTGGCGTGCATGAATGCTCTCTTTGTGGGCATGCGGAGAAAAGTGACAGCATGTGCGCCGGCCCGGGGAAACCGCCCCTGGATGCGCTCCTGTGGGGTGACTCAACCATCCTATCAATGGCTTTTCCCACAGGATCCCCCCAAACTCGCAGGTGAGTTTTTACACGTCTTCTTGTTCTTTGTAAGTTCGCCTTCTAAGGGAAAAAACAGTTGCCTTTCACATTGGCTCTAGGACAGCCTCATTTACAAAAGGTCAAATTCAAAAAGGGGATTAAGTAGAGAAAGCTGTCCCAGGGACATTGTTGAAAAACCTCATTTCAAACGTTGAATCGGTATTTCTGGGCTGAAAGACAAATACAATTTTAAACAATGTGGTTCGTGGCTATTTAATTTTACATTTAAAAAGAACACTCTTTCACGACTAAAATTGGCACCAAGGGGGAAACTCGATGAAATCCAGGTATTCCAAGTATTATTTTTTTCATGGTAATTCTGAAATTTGTTGCTCAGCTCTTTACTGGATGAATTAAATACATTAGGCCTAATTGTGTTTCTCAATATCACACATTTAACAGTAAATACTTGACATAATTCGTTATTTCTTTTACATATTTAAACCAGTATTAGAGACAAAACCTGATGATAAACAAACTGGCTATTAATTTAGTGAAACGATCAAACCACAAATTAGAAACGGTACTTCTAATTTTCCATTCTGAGTTTATTCACGCCTCGTGCGGTGTCACGTGATCTTGACCAGAAGTAGTGATTAGATATTACATAACATTTTGGATTTAAAAAAGGGCTTTACTCATACCCACCCACACAAAGCTTACCTTTGAGATAGAGGGATTCCAGAGTACAATAAGTCACGTGAATTCAGTAGCTTCCAAAAGAACCACCACCTTTTAGACCACGCATGGATGCATGTTAAATCACGCAGCTGAAAGCTAAACAATGTTCGCAATCAGTTAAGAAAGGCATGACATGACAGAAGGCACGACAGAGCCTCTCACAAAGGCCTGCTGCCCACACACAGCGCTGGTTAAAATGACTAAAATCAAATCATGACCAACTAGAATTGCATTACATGCTAGTGCTGGTCTTTTAAGTCAATCAAGAGCATGGAGATAATCTGTATTCTTGTTCTCTCTGTATGATTATGGATGAATAAATCATATTATACTAATCAGTCATGCAGGGAGCACCATTACAAAATGCGTGGATGTCAAGTAGAATGTACCAAAATCTCAAAACATCATTGATCTGCTATTAAAATCACTCAGTGTGACTTGGTGGTCATCTCAGTAGATGCTCAAAGCAACAAACAGTTAGGAATCCAGTCTGAGATGATTTGGCCCGCAGACATCTTCCGAGATGTGCTTGAAAATAGCATTTCCCACCTTGTTGTTTCATACAGATTTATCGATTTATTGCGTATGAATTACTGGCCGCACGTGTAAAACACCATCAAACCACTAGGTGGCAGCTGAAAACTACGGTGAAAAAAGGTTAAATGAGGAAGAGGAGGGGGGCATTTGAAAAAGAAAAAAATAAATAAAACAGAAACCTGTTTTTCTTTAAATGTCACATTTAATGAGTTTCACCACTGTACTTCAAATCTACATTTTCAGAAAGCATCCGCTGATTTTTGCCACAGTAAAACATCCCAGGAAAACAGGCCATTTCTTTCTCTAGCTTTCTGGCTGACCGAAGCAGGATTTGTACATCTTAAAATGTATTATATAATCAAATAACATTACCTCTGAGTATAAACTTTAAATGTTTTATAAAAACCTTTGATAGCACAAGTACCAGTTCACATTTTGTCCAAAGCAGGTGGCAGACGTCGTCTCACACACCAAGCGACAGTTCGTTTTCCTGTCTGCTTGCCTCACAAAAGACTTGTCATCATATTTTTGGACCTCCTTCAAATTCAAAGTCTTCAAAACATAAAATGAAAATAAAAGGGGGGGGGGGGGGGGCCAGAGCATCCGTGAAACAGCAAGACATGTAAGGTGCTCACAGGCAGCTGTGGTATCTATGCAGTGTGGACAGGGGGGGGGGGAAATCACAAACTCCACACAGCCAAATTCCCCCCCCCTCTGGGCCACGGAGGTGAAGGGTCATTCTTGTTTTGGAGTGCGAATGGTAATAATTAACAGTCCAGAATGTACGGGTCAAAAGTCCAATTTCATAAAGTAGTGGTTCCTGCTGCCCCCTCCACTGGCCCAAATGCAATCCATTTCATTGTACAAGTGGGGAGGGGGGTGTGGGGTAAGGGGAAATGCTCTGTGATTTAAATATAAAAGCTGGAAGGGACATTCAAGTTTCTGAGTGCGGAGGTAAACAACCAAGTTATAGAGCTCAGGAGGTAGAGACCAGCATTTTTGAATTCATTATATACATATACACACAATAGTTCAGTGTTTTTTCATTCTTTTCTAAACCAGGAGAAAACTAAAATCGGAATAATTATATTATCAATAATAACATGATAATAAAGCAAAAAATAAAATAATTAAGATCAATGGGAACAGCTTCTACTTCGAAACTTGAATCGGCAGCACACAGAATGATTATTGGTTGTTTTTTTTGTTGCTCAAAAGTTTTTTGATTTGTTTCTTTAAACACTTTCCAGTGCAGGGAAAAATAAAAATAAAAAAAGAAACAAAGAAAATAGATTTTTATACATTATATATAAGTTTCAAAAATAAAATCAAATTCACAGCCCTAACAAATGTGCAGGCTAATTTATGTTCTATACAGCAGTATTGTCTGACTTTCAATCTTTTTTTTTTTTTTTTTAACGATTTTGATTCTATGATTTAATTTAATCTACTAATTTATCACTTATGTACACATAATCTGTGGATCATGGAAATGCATGCCATATGATAAAAGGAAATAAAAAATAATCTAAAAATATATTAAATAGTTTTATTTTCAGGGTTTTTCTGAGCAGGTGCAGACAAGTGTTTCAGGTGTGTGTGTGTTTAAGCAGATTGGATTAAACTGCTATTTGTCACGTCGTGATGGCAACCGTCGTCAATGTAGAATCTCTCAGGTTGCCACGACGGCACATGGAAATGCGTGTCTCTGGAAGCTGTACCCCAGAGCACAGCTTTGGGGGGGGGGGAGGTGTGGCTAAAGGAAGGGCGGGAACACCACTTCCTGTCTGATGCCAACACCAGCGAGACTCCGCAGGCTCCACGGCTGCCGGTGCGAGAGGCCGGCAGCTGGAAACAGGCTAACCTGTCTGGAAACTTCAGTCAACCTTCTAAAATGAATTAAGCCCTAAAGCCGCCTTCTTGTCTTCTCTATCTCTCGTTTTCTTCGCCTTTTTTTGCATTCTACTTTTGGTTTGTCATCGTCCGGGAGATAAACACGGCAAGCCTCACCTCGCACTAGTGATGCTCCGTGCAACGCCTTCACGGGTCAACTAAAGGATACGCCCCCATTTCCACCTGGCGCTCCCAAAAGGGGGGGAGGGGGGCAAACAGATCCACTGCCACTCTCAAATGCACGGCATCTTTATATGAAGAACCCCCATCCCCATTAAGACAGACCCCTGGTACACCTGCCCTGTAGGGTGTGTATGTTCGTGTGTGGGGGGCGGGGGGTGGGGGTCGTCGTTGCTGCTTTGCCCTGTAAAGTTTCTTCATTTTTAGCCACTTTGGCCAAAAGCCGGTTCTGAAAATAATTTATTAAAATTAAACAACAAAAAAAATAAGCAGGCTTGCCCGACAGTGGCCCCTGAACGACCCCTGAATCTGCAGGCAGGCGGATTCCCATGCCCCCCCCCAGCACTCTGTCCCTCAGCCCCCGGCTGACCAAGGCCTACTAATACTGACATGCTGCTGGAGGTGCCAGCCAAAGCCCAGTCTAGCACCATTGCACAACATACAGGCCCTCCCAGCAAATACTGGCTTTCTGTCCTGGGGGGGTTGGGGGGG